CAGCAATTCTTGTGACCTCTGAAGATTTGTGAGATTGTTTCTTTTCAAAACGTCTGTTTTAAGCTATGTATACAGAAAACTTACTTCAAGAGTAAAATATGTGCTGTCCAATCTCCACGTTAGTGATAGGATGAGAGCGAAAAATTTAAAATGTGGATCTGTGATGTCGTTCTCAGAGATCAGCTTCACGAGATTCGAAATTGTCATAAGAGGAACTCCATGACTACAGCTGGAGTCACTTAACCGCAAACAACCTGTCACTCGAAATTTAGCATCAAGGTCGATATTGGTGATTCATTGGGTGAGGTTGATTGGATTGTCCCGAAGAAAGCTTTGAGAAAGCCTTCAAGTACGTTTGCTCCTACTGCTAAGATAAGTACAACCACTTGAAAAGCTTCTACACTTGTCATTTCGAGGTCTAAGGGTCCTCACTTAACACCTAGTGTTATCTTTTATAATCTTGATGATTTGAAAGATGTACATTCGTCTAAACGAAATAATCACAACCTGCATTAAGTTGGGGTCACACCTTCCGTCACTTTGAGGTGGTCGAAGTAGGTAAAGGAGATGAAAGTAAACTCTGACTAAGGAGTATTTTAAAAGTAGTCTTAGGAAACAAAGAAGAGGTGGATAGTATTTTCGAGTAGCGCACACAAGGCAAGTGACTTGAATGCTCGTGCTAGTCCGGACTGGTCTCCTGAGGACAGGATGAAGAGGTTAGTAGCCCATACCGAACTCACCGCTGACCAGAAAGACAGAACATCAAACTTTGGGATTTTTCGATAGTTAACGGGGTCATACAATGGACACCTTGACGGTATTGTTTACCATTGCCTGCAGCCTGACTGGAGGAATTAGTTGTTGACGAAATACGTCTGACACGGTTGCTGTGACGCAAACATGGCACCTCTACGTAAGGGCTTACAGAATATTGTCATAAGGGTGAAGTTCTGCTGTACACCCACAAAGAAGTAAATATTAGGTCAACTTACATAGAACGTGAAAATGGTACTTACTAATTAATAAGCTGCGATTTGACCTAACGTCAGTTGAGAATGTAGTCGAAATCGCGAGTAATCTATCGAAGTCAATGTTGCAAAGTAGGTGACTTCGTACTGAACCTCACACGTGGGTGGAGTATTAGTAAAAGATACCTGATAATATGTGACCTTAACGTACCATATATAAACTGGGTGGTCAGATTCAAGCAGCTACTTCGATATTTACTTACTCGTATCATTCATAAAGAGTGCTGTCAGTCAAAACGTTATTAGAATACAATTGTGTAGTCTGGTAGAATAGTATGTTTGCGAGGTCGCGCCAAAATATCGATGCGTTCCAACTAGCTGGCTAGAAAGTCGATCACGAGCAGTGCAACGTAACACGACAGCGTGCCTAATGGCGTGGACGCTTGACCTTCTACTTAGCGAGTCCGATAAAACTATGAATGTTGAATTTCATCGAACCCTAGGCTATCGATTCTGGAGAAGTATATGACGCTAGTTTCATACGCATGACTTAGTCCCATCTAGACGAATTATGCAGCGGGTTTTCTGTGTTCTGTTTGAATATTTTATCTATTTGCATAGTTCTTACAATGCTATCTATCATTGCATCACGTTTCAGACTGTTTATTCATATGCAAAGTGTTGGCTACATTTCTAATTCTTAGATGGAAAGTACAGTTATTCAGGATAAATGATGCTCACAGATCACAGTGACTTAGTCGGTGCTCCAAATTACATTCAAAAGGATTTATGCTTGTAGTTTTCACTTCAGAATATATACATGCAGAACACATAAAATACATATTTTCAGACAGAATGCCTATAAGACCTGGGGATAACTTTTGGTCTCACCCCTTTTGAAACCAAATTCTTTAAAAAGGATTTCCTTCGTTGCACGCTTTATTCTCTAACTAAATTTAGTGCAAAGCATTCTGTAACCGATTTCTTGTTCAAGCTATCAATATCATTTTAGAACTTTCACCATATCTAACTCCACATAATGATTATGATTGTCTGTGTGGGGCGTTTTTAGAAATAAACGAAGTACAATCAACACGATATTTGACTGACGCAGTACAAAGGAATCTGAAATGATATAGATCAGACTATCAAATTTGTCGTTACTATGCATTGGAAAAGATGAACAGATCCATGTACCCAGTGACACAGTTTGTCGGTAGACATGCACGACTCCGGTAGAAAAGCTGTTCACTAAACTATCAGTAAGTTAGTTGATGAGGTCTCACATTTCAGTTGAACTAATGTGGAACAGAAAAAAAACTTTATTCGCGTCAGCATGAAGTACAAACCATTTCGGGTTTCTGCTATGAAGTATTCGATATTTTCAGAAACATAGGATTACATTATACACGTTTTAACAAAATGCTAGCGCGCTTAGGAAACCGAAACAAGATTTTTTCTGAACGTTTCGTTGTGTACGTTATAACCTCTATAGAAGAATATTCCGATTATATCATACCTAGCGCTCAGATTCTTCCAGGACATTCGTAACAACTATGGACAATACAACAATCACCACCTAAACTTAAGTCTTCTCAAACAATGATCATTGATGTGATGCAACTCCGCAAATGGATGAAATGGTCAACGCACTCAACCACCTCACCCCCTAATCCTTAAATTGAGTTAGTACAATCTAATCCTTGAGAATAATCCTACACTTGACAGATCTATATCAAAGCATACACCTATTCACGTTGCCAAATATTTTCGTGCTTTTTAAATAACTTTCATTCTTATTGTTATTTTCGTAGCTACAGCATAGTGAGAATTTTTGATTGACACCCCTCACCAGAAAGTATACATACTAGTTATATTTAAATGTGATTGCACAGTTTCTGAGGATGACGCAATCGAAAATGAATATCTTCCCTATAATCCTTCTACCATTCTAATGAAACTCGCAGAGTAATACTTTGTTTTTGGAAATGTATGAGACAAATTATTGACTTTGAATGACAATATATACTATCTACTCCAATGCACAACTTAAACTGGACTATGTTACAGAAAACTAAAAAAAAAAAGTCAGACTGACTGTTCTTCAAACTTAGTCTGATGCACGATAGGATTGAAGCTGATAACTAGATATTATGGATGATGTACTTTGAAATCCACACATGCTGCACTTTGCATCCTTCCAAATCTTAGATGGCAGATTTCATTGGTTATGTCATTAATGTGCGTGTACATCAGTATATGCACTTGTTAATCAAGGTTATCGTCGAAGGGTCAACATATTTTTTCACAGCTGATTCTACTATGCATAAACAAGAAATTATAAAACGGAGTTTAGATTTATGAAGGGAAAGCAGTGTAGGGATGAGTTAACTAGCAACTCTATGTACCTCTTATCATCATAATACACAACAATCAAAAATGTCTGACATTGGTATCAGAGAACTTCTATTTTAGACATTTACACTGACAGTAATGGATTATCATCAAGTCATTAATGCAATTGAAATTCCCGACTGAAACTGTTATACACGATGAGAGTTTGGTTTCATCCTGCCTAGACTGACCTGTGTTTGGATATGTTTCATGTGTATTGGGAAGTCAGACAAGTCAACATAGAATTCAGTATGTAGACGGAGCGGTTCAAGTTGTCACACTTCTCAACAGCAGACATGTGGATAGAAAGAAGGCGATATCAAATTAGGAAAAAGTGTATAGAAAGAGAGGATTTGGATACTTGACTTTCGCGAAGATTTTAATTGAAATCGTCTAAATTAACAAAGAAAATTATATTCAATGCTTTGTTAGATCTTTGTTAAGTGTGTTGACCACTTCACTTACCTGGGAAGTAGGATCAATCCTGGTGCATTGATCAGTGGTCGATGAAATCTCTGAACGAATACAAAAAAGGCTCGGTTGGCTATTGACAACATACGCCACCTGTGGCGCCACCATGATATCCCATTGTCTATTAAGAGTCGCGTGTGCTGCACAGCAGTCCACTCTGTTCTACTGTATGGCTGTGAAACATGGCCATTGAAGATGGGAGACATGAGAAGGCCTCAGGTGTTTGACCACCGTCGCCTTCGTAGTATAGACCGTATTCTGTGGTGTCACCACGTGAGTAACACAGAAGTCAGATCTAGAGTTTCAGGAACAAGAGGTAAGTCAGTTAATGAGGTTGTGAACCTTCATCGACTGAGATAGTTGTCTGGGACATATGTTACGTATGCCTAGTCGCCGATTGCCTCGCCACACAATGTTGGCTGAAGAAGGCTCCAATTGGAAAAAGGTGATGGAGGCGGCCAGACTAAAACATGGTACCAATGTATAAAGTGTTTGACTGTTGGTTTGAGCCATGTGGGGCGATGCAGACTAGGTGGCTGGGGTTGGCGGGACGAGAGTAACCAGTGGTTGGAGACTGACTCTAGCTGATGGCGTGGCTGAGAACCGATGTCAGTGGTGCAGATGTATACACACACACAGACATTATCCTCATTTTAACGACGATATACGGAAACTCACTATTCTCTCACTCTTTCCGTCTCTCTTTTCGTACTTAATATTTCCTTTGATTGAATTTTTTTCTTCATTTTCTCCTTCACTGGCTTGTTTACTTGATGTAGTGATATGAGATGTGTCTATTCGGATCGTTACGCAGTTCTATGTTGATATTGATGACGATATCAGATCTTCGTCTAATATGTAGGAAATAGTAACTTAATGGTCAAATGGGTTGAACAGTATAATAATGAAGTATCTCAACAATATTTACACAACATTACAAAATATCAAAACATTACAAGTGAAAAGAAAATATAGAAGTCAAAATAAACCTCAATTTAAAAAAAAAAAACTAAATCTTTAAAAATAAAAATAGAACAAACTACACACAAAGCTGAATAACGCGAGTTCATTCACCTTGAGCAATCATCTTTTCAATTTTAGAAAAGAAAGAAGTATATATATATATATATATATATATATATATATATATATATATATATATAATCCTTAGTCATCCAAATTCATACCGAACTCAGGATACAATTCTCGAACAAGACAACCTTTATGATTGGCTAATAAACCGAACAGTATAATACAAGCATCTTTGGCCTCATTATATGCATGCAAACGATTGTGCCACTGAAATAATTCAATTTCCAAGTCAATAAATTTTTGATTTGGTCGCTTTGATAATAGTTTGTTAATACAATTCTCTATTTCTATATCAGCATCACTGTCAACATTAATATCACAAACACTGTCAACAGGGATATTTTCCTCATCGAGTTGTTCACGATTCTGTCGGTTTATTTGCCTATCTGCATTTTTCATTGTTAACTGACTGTTCTGCAATAAATAAATAAGAACAAATAAATCCATGTTGAAAGTTAACCAAAAGTATGAGATAATATCACCATGATATTTATATGAAAGGATATGTAACTTAGTGACTGGGTGCAGGAATATGTACTAGGCTATAAGATATACTTCTTTCTGAAGTGTGTGCCAATGATGTTGTTTAGAATGATTAAGCCATCCAGCTCAGGTAACACAACATCTTAATTATCATTCTGAGCTACAAGTTCTCTTTATCATCTCGATTTCTGAATGTAATTGTGAAGTTTGATGAGAAATTATCACAATGAAAATGTTGGAATTACGTAATATTTGGCATGTTTGTTTCTTGATTGACGATTACCAAACATACTAACTTCTCAACTGGATCATCTTATCCCAATCTAATCAGAAAATAGGTTTGATACGGGAAGTGATATATTGATTTGAATATGTAAAATAACCTTAAGTGATTTTAATACACAAAGGGGATGAATGACTTAATAGTAGCAGGAGATAAATTAGCAGCTCCAATGAAACTATGTTAATGGGGCTTTGGGGATTGTTGTTTTCCCAGTTAGATTAAAGTTGAAAATAGTTACACCAATATCACAGCTTGCACCCAACACTGCTGTCAGGCAAAAATACGTGAATTAATAAGACCGACGGCAACAATCTGAAAGAAAAATACTTTTTTTCATTATATTCTTATCAGGCTCTACAATTATAAAAAGCACTTGTACAGGAATAATGTTCCTGAAAGAACGTCCAGATAACTCCAAATCGCTTAACATCGTATTGAAGTCACGGATTGCGGTGAACGCGTACATACCTCAGTGATAAGAAGCGTGGTAGATTAGACTGACAAAATATTATGCGTTCCATCTGACCAGTAGCTTATTTTTTGAGGCACTTTAATACTGGTAACAAGATTCAGTGGGACAGGTTAAACTTTGCCTCCTTAAGATATTGATTTTCCTGAAACTATTCTCGTCTATTAATTTAGAAATAGGTTAGTCGAGGGGAAACCCGGTCACTTAGGAGGACAGAGGCACGCTACACAAACTTTGTCATTGTAAATTCATATGTTCTGATAAGCATCGGTACAATAATTCGTTTGATTACATAGTTCTGACAACATTGTTTACCACAGTAATGAGGTTTTCGAAATCAACCATAGTAACACACCTTAACTAAATTACCTTCCAACATCCTTTTTTAATGGGGAAATTGAAAACGAAAGGAGTAAACAAACACTAGCTGATAAAGAATAAGACATAAACGCTTAAATGAGAAAAATACTTACAATATCATCTACATTTGAATTGACTTTATTACTTTGACCATTAGAAATATCATCGAGAACGCGATTTTCATTGATAACTTTCAATGGAGATTTATAAGGCGCATAAACGTTGAAATTTCGCTTAGTTCTTCTAGTTGGTGTTGACATTATTGTATGTATGACTATTTATTCGTATACATCAACAAAATAGACGGAATAAACGTATGAATTAGTGCAAGCATAGACAAAGTGTCATTTAAAGCATACAAACAAGAATGATAGACAGAGAGAATATTGATCTATTTACACTAATTAGCATACAATAGTGTGATATGAGAAAATACTGGCTAGTAATAATAACAATAAGGTTAACCTTAGTATATACAATGCTTGCACCTTTTGGAGTATAAGAACAAGTGAATAAGAAATGAAGGATAGAGATGCAAAAGTGCTCAAATTATCAAGATATTTTTGTTGCTGTCGTTGTTATTGATGATGATGATGACGGTATTATCATCAGTCATCTTTTTTCACAGGGAATCCTTGAGCTATACATTGAGGACAATACCATTGACCACGTGGTTTATTCACTAAGCCAACACAATCAAAATGGAACCATTCAATTGGACAGTCATGATTATCACAGGCTACCATTTCACCATAGGATACTTGTTGACATATACAATAGGTGGGCTCATTCGGATCAACTGGCATATCTAACACCTCTCTAGGATTATTTGTCAATGCTAAAGCCAATGCTGCAGTGGCTGGTATTCTAAAATGCAAAAAGTGAAAATTAGTTGTTTTTTTCTTTAAAAAAATGAAAAAAATCAATGAAATATGGTCACCAATGTTCTACAAGTTGATTTATGTTGACATTCTTTACATTCAACTGAACAAATGAAGGCATACAACGAAAAACTTAATAAATCTGAGTCAGTATGATTGATTTTAAGTGATGAGAAATACTTATTATCTGTGTGCTTGTATAGGGGAGGCTATGGCACGGAATTAGGTGAAATAAGATTGAATTATATCCATACCGTTGAAGTACACATCCATAAAAGTTGGACAGCAAAAAGTATTTCTATTCATCAGCACTAACTTCATATTGAGGTTAGTGCTAATGATATCATCTAGAAGGACGATGAAAGCTTCACGATTAAACAACCCAGCCCAGAGAACACAATACAACCAAGACCACCCACCTGAGCTACAAATATTCCCCACTATTTCAAGATTAGGCATTTTTTGATCAAAATATATTCTTTATTTTAAAAAGAATTGTCTTGGATTTGCCGACTTAAGCCGTCTATGGTGCCATAGTGATATCCAATTTAATGCAGAGTGCTGCAGGTCGCTGTGCTCTAATATACTATACCTGCGAGACATGATCAAGAAAGACAAAGGATATGAAAAGGTTTCAAGTGTTCGACCAATGTTACGTTCGTAGCACAAGCTGCGTGATGTCACAACCACGAAAATAAAGTAAACGATAGGTTGATAGCTCAGTGGAGAGGGAGAAAGTCAGTTAATGACGTCATATACCTCCATCAACTCAGATGTCTCGAACTTGTGTTAAGTAGTGTTAGCTGAAGTAACCTCAAACTGGAAAAGGTTAGAGATAACCAAGTTAAAACATGGTATCAGTCCATAAAGTCTCTGACTGTGTAGGAAAGTGAAGATTTCTCAGTCGGAGCCTGCCTCAACTCCAAAATCGGGGGTTAACACCTCTAGGAGATCCGACCCACAATTGATCACAGTGACGAAGATACATCCACACGTTATCTTTTTCTTAGTCGTCTTGCCAGATTTCATGATGGTTCATTTCTTACGACTTTCTACTACTTATGAATACAGCTTTCCCTAATTCTCTACTTATCATCTTGGTGTCTATTAACTTGATGTGCTGATATGAAGTACTGCAACTAGGATGATTACGCAATAATGCTACATTCAATATTGACACTGATTGATATACTCGAAACAAACGGTTGTTGGTATTCGGTTAAAAGGGATCGATTCCAATGGATGCGATGAAATTGTAGCCGTGACATTTCAAAGTAGAATCAGACATCTTAGACCGGACATTTGTATGCAAAAAGAGGCTGTGATTAACCTTCCATGAAACTGGTGATTCGATGTTATTTTGGTTACATCATTTTTTCGCTTTATATATAATGTATTTCCATGACATTTATTTGTTTTTGATGTTTTCTTGTTATTCGTAAGCCTACGGTTTTCCTCAATTATTTGGCAACTTTTCTCCCTTGAATCTTTGTTGGCTTAACATTTTCACAGATGCAGAATTGCCGGTCTACTCATTTATAATTTATTACTTATGTTGACTAAGATATGTAAATTTAGGTTGTGTGAAGGTGATGAATATCAGAGAAATAAAATGGCGTCATTTTATCCTGGGAATCTATTAGTTCTTGCTTTGTTTAAATTTGTTAGGCGAACGCAATGTATCTTTCAAATGACTATCTCCTGAATATTATAATAGACGTTACAAAACTATCTTTTTTAATCGATTATTGTTAATCGCTCTAGCGATTAGTAAACTATCTAGCTGTTATCGTTTCCGTTCTTAATTATTAATCGCGGATAGCTGCGCGACAGGAAACCAATGATCAATGATCGCATCACAATAGCTCAGTTTCAGTTCATAACACAACTTAATGAATAAATGATTCCCTTTTAGACTGGAGTAAATGCGGGTTAAACCAATAGACTGATTAATTGGTAAGACAAAAGACTTTATGCTACTGGGTTAGGGGGCATTACACTACTTACGATCGACGATTACTGACTATACAACATGGTTAAGAATCGATCGTTTTAAGGTAGATGAATCTAAATGCTGAACATATCACTTTCTTAACTTATTGTTCCGTTAGTTGACTTCCCGTTTTTGCCCCAATGTGAAATCAAGGCAATTAAACTTAATTGTACATAGTCCAGATAAAAACTATGCAGATATCGATTTTTTAATGAACAGATAGGTCATAGCAAGTGCTAACCATATTAAATGCTACAGTTGTAAACAAAAACTTACTTAGGAGAGGCTACCGGTTCTTGTGCTTGCTTCGCTCTTGATTTCTTCACTTTCTTTGACTCTTTCTCAGCTAAAATTTGAATGAAGTGAAAATCCCACACAAAAGATGCACCTACCTAATGCTTTCTTAAATTCAAACATATCAGCATCAAGTCGACGTATTTGTTTATCAACTAATTCATAGGCACTTTCAGCTCTAGACACTTTATCATTACTGATTTCTTTGCCTTTTTTAAATAAATTTTGTATTTGTTCAATATGTGCTTTTCTTTCTTCTTTAGTCATTTCATTTGCATGTTCAAATAAATAGGTTGTACGCTGTTGTGTTTGACGAATAATATCTTGAACTTTTTGATCAAGATCACGCATAATTTCAAATTCCTGCCGTAAGTGTGGTGGTAAGTGTTCTAAATCTAGATTTTTTGTAGATGTTAAAAATACAAGTAAACATTGAAAGCTTGAAGATTGAAATACAAGCAATTACTTGAAAAAAAATACTATTTAGTATTGATTGTCATTGATAAAATGCTTCTGAAATTGTTAAAAGTTTACTGACAGTGGCTTATTGATTCAGGGAGTTGACTTCTAACCAATGGGTTATGGATTCGAACCCAGTCCGCCTATCAAGGTTTCAGGCAGGTAGTATCATTAGCTTTAATACATTTGGTATGGATCATTGTATACTGTGCAAACGTGCACGTGGTCACTAAGTGCATTTGGAATCGTGCAGACGATTCAAATCATTGTCATTCAGAACAGTAGTGGGAGACATTACCGTTTGTTCAAGTAACCACTTTACTAATGTGGAAAGAAACTACATCAATCCCATAGAAATCAATTTCATACTAGTTCTCAATACTGAGTTAAACTTATCGATAAGTTGCTGGATTTACTTAATGCATTCTCATAGAAACTAGTTACTGGAGATTTTTCGACTGAGTAATACACATTTGGGAGGGACAATCAAATATTTTGATGGCTGTTTATGAACCTTGATCAACGCTCAGATGCGTATAAATTGAGAATTTTCACCAAATCCCTTAAATTGTATAACACTAAACAACAAATATATGTAGAAATAAACAATGATAATATATCATACTTTATTCGATATATTTAGATTGGTATCCAGTAATTGTGATTAAAATAGTCAACTTTCAATTGCATAGAACTTCAAAATTGAATCAAAATGCACTGAGTAACCTGGTCCAAATTTATGCAGTAGGCAACGAGCCGAACCTGCTGTGTGAGGATTAATGACATTAACTGGCTGCAAAAACATCGATAGGTAGGGAGGTATTCGAACCCGTGACCCACTGACTGAAAGTTATCTACCTGCCAACGCTTTCTTTTCCTGTACGGTTTGAACAATCACACGATGTTAGCCGTCACAAAACATCAGGCTAATAGTTCACTGCATCAGACGAACAGATACAATCCAAAACCTTGAACAAAAATCCATTGGTTTAAACTTTCAAACTTCCTGTGGGCCGTGGCTCATTGGTTTGGGGAGATGACTTCCAACCAATGGGCCATGGGTTCGAACTCTTCCTCACCAATCGAGGTTTGGGCAGCCAGGTAGTATTACTAGCCCTCACGATACGTGCAGCTCATTGCCTACTGTACAGATGTGTACAAGGAAGCTGTGTGTTTTCTTTTTTTATACTAGAAAAAGAGGCTAATATAAGCTATGAAACCATAAATAAACTATATATATATATATATATATATATATATATATATATATATATATATATATATATATATATATATGCTGTAAGATATTCAATCACAGACAAAATATGTGGTCTAGATAACATACATATGAAGTACTTAGCAAATGGTTAGTACTGTTCAGCTGGCAGCCCTTGGGTATGAAGATATATTTTTATCACCTGTCAGTACTAAAATAAACAGCCTTCATAGATGACAAAAAACAAGTGGATAATATTAACATATTAGAAGCTTACAAGCACAAAGAGAATTTATTTGGTTTCATGTTACTAACGTTTGAGAACTATATTCATGAAACCTACACTTTAATGCTAACGAGACCAAAATCTAACAACTTTATGAATTAGTATAATTGTTTCTATATTATACCGTCGTTGATTAAACTGAATTGATCAGTCTCTATTGGCGTATGAGCTCCTGTGTGGATGCCTCTATATTACCTGTGCTCTAATTATAGTAATTATGGATAGTGGCTAGGAGGTACATCTAGCCGACTAGTCCCAAATAGGACGAAATGCGCATTCTGGATTCCACTGCTGGCTATTATCCAACATTACAGCTTTATGAATTGATAACATCTTGGCACATTTATATTTAAGGCTTAGGATTACTTGATCAATAACTGAAATCAATCAATTAATTATTACAATTTATGGAAAATTCTATAACTACTTTTCATTGTTCGAGGTCTATATGAGATATTCACCGTAAGCACCTTCCTGAGGTTAGAAATTAAACACTCATGTTTCCTGATGAAAATGTTGCCCTTCATCTTTTAGACTTAAATTCAGCCATCGTATACTTAAATTCTTTGCTATTCAGAAGCAATAAAGCAATACTATCTATCAAATAAAGGGCATTTCGGGACATTTTCTAACAAATTTTACCACTATTATAATGGTTTAATGTATGCTTTACAAATACATTATCCCGGCAAAGCATAAAATGATTCTGACACTGGTTAAAGCAATGGAACTACACATCTCAGGTTGTACAAGTAAAGAGCTACACAGCTTAGTGTCAAGATAATTTACCTGACTAATAGTAATATAGATTCTAAATAGAAAGTTGAAACTCATGGGGGTGGGTGGTCATTACGCTATACCATGAATTAAGAGAAGTGAGAAAATGTGAACCACTCGATTCTAATCAAGTAGCTCAATGGTAACGCACTCGCGAAGAGATCTGGAGGGCCTGTGTTCGATTCCTATTGAGGTTGTGGGTGTGCACTTCTGAGAAGTAATATACTAGGGTGAAACAGCTGTCCAGTCCCCTTAAAATTACACTGGTTGCCCAAATGATATTAGTCTACGATGATTACCACCCTGAAATAAACTGATGAGTTTAAGTAACGGGCTATACATATACGTTTACAGGCAGACACAGGTATTTAAAGTTGCAACCGGGTTGCGAGAAATTAGGTTGTCATTCAAGGTCGAGAAGTCTTTGTTTACGACTGATCTGTACAAGTGACTCCAGGGTCTTGAGGACATGATCAATATATAGAGCAGCAAGTGTCTGGTTGGTGGGAATTCATCTCCGCCAACCAATGAACCACAGCCCCGTTACTGCATAACCGTAGGGTAAAGAAATGGGGGAGGAAGTATTCAGAAGTGGTAGAGTCATGAAAAGAGAACGAGAAATGAAACAATAATAAAATTTGGTATGACGACTAAGAAAAAGATAATGTATGGATGTATCTTCGTCACTGTGATTAATGGTGAGCTACACCTCTTAGAGGTGCTGACCACCGATTTTGGAGTTGAGGCAGGCTCCGACTGAGAAGTCTTCACTTTCCTACACAGTCAGAGACTTTATGGACTGATACCATGTTTTAACTTGGTTATCTCTAACCTTTTCCAGTTTGAGGTTACTTCAGCTAACACTACTTAACTCAAGTTCGAGACATCTGAGTTGATGGAGGTATATGACGCCACTAACTGACTTTTTTCCCCTACATCAAGCTCGAAGCCCAACTTCTACATTTTTTACGTGGTCGTTACATGACAGTCTGTGTCACGAAGACAACGATAGTTGAGCACCTGAAGTGTTTTCATGTCTATTTTTTATGGCCATGTCTCACAGCCACATATTAGAACACAGTGAGCTGCAGCACTTCACGGTTAGTATACCATCGGATATCACGGTGGCATCATACATAGGGTAAGTCGGCAAAAGTCAGACAAGCCTTTTGCATATATGCAGAGAATTCGTCGACTACTGATTTGATTTTACCTCTTAGATCAGTGAAGTGGTTAATGTTTTGAACCATTACAGTCTCTACTGTTAGATGGGGAATTACATCAGCCTAAACGGGCTGGTTGCTGACGAAATCTCAGCTCAGAAACAGGAGACCGGTTTGGTATTTGCCACCTTACGTCACCTGAGACGTCGGCGAGATATCCGGCTATTTATCACAGGATGAGGATACTGCGCTGCACTATGTTCTGCCCTGCTGTACGAGTGTGGGACACGGCCGTTAAAGGTAGACAAGTGTTTGCAGTGTTTTGTTTATCGATATCTTCTTAGCATTGCTCGCGTTTGGTGAGATCACTGTATGAGCAACGTTGAGGTCAGGAGAAGCGTACTAGGCAAGACAGACAAGTCGATTGATAAGGTTATGAACCTTAGTCGACTGAGATGGCTTGGACATGTACTGCACATGCCAAGCCACCACCTACTTAGATGTGCCATGCTAGGGGAAGTTGAATTAGGATGAAAAAGGCTTCAATGTGGTGAGACCAAGATCTGGCACCAGTTGGTGGAGTCCCTGGCCATTGGCTTGAGCCGTGTAGTGAGATGTAGACTACCTAGCAACGGTCCCCAAGATGAAAGGAATCAGTGGTTTAGGATACTCGGAGACATGGCTGAAAATCGGTCACAATGATGCATATGTATTCACTCCTTGACATCTGAAGCTCGAATATTCGCACTATGTTTCATCTTCAGATTGTTTATTCTCTCACTGTCATCTTGTCGGTGACTTTAATAAGCCTAAACAGTTGCCAGGTATTAACTAATGCTAAAACTCTCTATCTTTCTCGCCTTTACCACCCACTACAACTCGCGGTTATTGCGAAGACTCTCAGTCAATTTACGTCTAAGTTGCCATTGTCCTTCACTGTGGTCAGGGCCAGTTAGAATGAGTCTTCTTGCATCAATCAGTCAGCGTGAAGTGGAAATCCACTGACGTTTGCTTACTTTTGAATATCGAGCATCAATTGTCTTTACTGCTATTCCTGCAGCAAACTGAACATTACATCGAGCTTCATAAGGAGGACAATTGTTGTCATGTTCAAATAAATGCTTGACTACTTGCTTCACAAATACGTATTTCGTTTTCTTATCTTACAGCCGAAGAAACACAGACTTGACTGCTGCTTGTTTTCTACGACCAGTAAGGCCCAAACAGACACATGCTCGAACAAACGCGTGATCGGAATCCAAACTGGTACTCCACGGAGAGCAGCAATCCACCAACCCTTTCCAACAGTAGCTAATAGCAATATTACCTGTGTCTACTGTTGGTTTGTTGTCGGCGGACGTGATGTGAGGCGGTGTCCCTCTTTATGCTTGGAGTTAGCGTTGGCCAGAAACAAGTGATTGTCAGTGCAAAATTTCAAAAGACGATCACCGCTGTCGGTCCATTCACATGGGATTCCGTAGCTACCTCCTATATGACTTCCCAACTGACCCAGCTTTTTACTTGGTTGTTGAAGTCGCCTGCCATTATGACTTCACCTGCCCGTTTTGCTTTCCGTAGTAAAATCGACAGCTTTCCATATAATTCATCTTTTCGTATCATTCGTATTGCAGTCAGTGGACACGTAGAGAAAGATCACGAATAGACATCAATTGGTCTTATGATCCTTCCTAGTTCTCACAGATCCATTTAGTCGAACAGCACACGGGTGGCTGTTGACAATGGTTGCAGAGTGAGAGACAGGAAGTTGTAAGAAGCTTGAAACTGGTATCAGAAGATGAGGGCTAAGGAGCGAACAGTAAGTCTTTTGGCCATGTTACTTAGATACTTTACTAAGCCAACTTTAACTGACAAAGGGTGAGACAGGGGCAAAATATTTACAAGTAAAATAGATCTAAGATAGGGAAACAGATACGTTAAAGACACCTTACTCATCAACAATTATTCTTCCAAATTAACCGATAAGTTCCTCAGGAATCGTAAGTAAAAATATCAGTAGTAGTTATTAATGGTAGTGCTAACAGTGATGATAATAATAGCAATAATGATAGTAACAATAGTGGTGATAATGTTCATAAAAGTAGTGGCAATAGAGAAAATAGAATTCAAAACCTCTACAGTATTACCATACAAAGAAGACACCTCAGAAACACGACTTAGAACTCTTATTAAGGCATTTAAACCTACAAACTCACTTCGAAATACGCTTTGTGGGTTTCAAGATCCTATTGATCTAACTAAGCTGATTAACTTAGTTTACCAGATCCCTTTCAACGATCGCGAGGTCAAATACATAGGTCAAAGTAGTCGATCAGGGTCAATTAGGCTATCCGAACACAAAAACCTAGCTAGGTGAAAATCGGAAGATCCTAGTGAGGTAAGGAATTTAGAAAAGCGCTCAGCCATAGCTATACATGCGAGTACACACAACCATACAATAGGATGGGACAAGGTTAAAATCCTTAAAACTAACATAGTGTGGAAGAAGAGATTGATAACTGAATCTTTGTTTATTGAATTAACACCTAATACATGCAACATGAATGACCTAGCACCTGTTCCGGATATATGGAAAATCTTACTACCCATGCCACAAAGGGGCGAGAAAATTAGGACCATATAAAGGATATCTCAAAGTTGTGTAGTTATTTTGATATGACTATGGACAACAAATTATGTCCGAAACGCAATCCAGTAAACAATACTGTTACACTGAGTGACAAATCCAACAAATCAATAAAAATGGAATTACATTCTACCACAATGTACAAGTTTTACCCTTATACTAATGGGATAACCAATCCTTAAATACCTTCAGCAGCAGTCCGTTTGGTCCTGGTGCCCTTTCTTGTTTCATATTACTCACAGCCCCAATTTTCGCAAGATTTGGATGGTCTGTTTCAGTGTTTCATTCAGGATCCAGTTAGGTAGTGGACAACGGAACAGTAGTTTGAAGGAAGTTGAAATATCCTTTGAAGTGCTCTATATATCACTCCAGCCATCCCTCCGAGTTAATCGTAAACCAATCCTTCTCTCCGATATTTGCACTAACCATTCACTTTCATGTTCCAGTTTTCTTGACCTGACTAAATAACTGTCTACGTTTAATCATCACCCCTGACTTTTCATGTCCTTATTCTTCACCGCCCAACACTACTCGGGGTCTGCGTAGATTCCGAGTCAGTTTACATGTGAGTAGCTTTTTTGCCTCACTGAGCAAGAAACTTGCAAAATGAGTCAACATAGATCCATCAATTTAAAGCTTTTGAGACCTGCTAACTGCCTCCAACTTTTTTTCAAGGCTCATTCAAGGTCTTTAACGCCGTCTTTACAGTAAACTAAAGATGGAGCCAACCAAGCTTTTTCAAAGACGTCCCGTTCCTATAACTATCTAACCAGTTTCTCAGTTGAAAGCGGGCTTAGTGTTCTCGTCAACCAACTGCCTTTAAAATGGTCTCGTTGTAATCCTTTCACTTCTATTTAGGCTGAAACCAAGGTGTAATCACTGATCAATAACACCTAGCTAGCAACGAAGACAAAGAAAAACCGACACCAAGCTGCAGTGTATACGGGTCCCATGCAAATTTCCAGCATCTCGTGGACCCAATTTACGTAAGATATATGGCCCTGATCAGCAGTCGACTAAAGCCTGCAAACAGGCTGCTCTCATGCATTGGTCTAATCCTACTTCAACTAACACTAGAATTGAATTTATCTGCTTACATATTTTGAGATACATGACTCAGCCATCTCACCCAAAGCAGGTTCAAAAACTCACTGACTGAACTTATTGATTGACTTTTCTGGTTAAAACAGGTCACGCCAACTTGAAAATTACCCGGTCCCTTAATTCGTATCATGAAAGCATTACCAACAACAAACTATAACCTCACTGGGTCGTCTAATTTAACGGCTGTTTTTCGCACAGACTAAACAGCCGAACAGTCTACTAAACTACGGTTAACTGTCGCACTACTCGGTCAATGCGATCCGATAGACAGATAAAGTGAACAGCTCAAAATCATCCACACCTAAACTGTATATATGACAAGTCACTTAGGGTAAGTGCAATTTCTCAAAAGGCCGTGAGCCTTGAAGAAGCGATTAGTCATCTATCAGTATTCCTAAAGACCCAGGCAAGTTTTCAGTCATTATCAAACTATGAGGCTGTCAGTGATCAAACGCCCTTATAAGAGACATAGCATGAGGAATGGAATTCAATAAAAATGATGAATAGAGAAAAGTATCCCAAAATAACACATACCCTCCATATATTTCTGCAGATACTCCATCCTGAGATCTTTGAAACGCGCGCAGAGCGGAAGAGGCAGTTTACCCGCGGGTTTCCAACTTCAAGTAATGCAAATGGTTGCTGACGGAATACAAGCTTCCGCATCTACAATCCACGGGTCACTATTCTTTGCGGTCTTTGATCTGTGAACAAGTAAGGAAAGAGAGAAAAGTGACAGTTAAAATGTGAAAATCCAATTAGTTCTTGGCAGATCCCAGACGCATGTCAAGTGGGTATCCAATCGGCGTTTAAAGGATTCAAATGAAGTGACCTGGATCATATCTTTAGGAAGAGTGTTTCAGGGTTTTACAACTGCTAAGAAATAGAAGCTGTGCCTGACATCTAACCTGCTATATTCCAGGCTTAGTTTCTGTATGTCCTCTGAGATTGGTGCTACAGCTAAGATTTAGTGAATGACGAAGTGGGTGACCAGGCGTACCCAGAATGTTGTGGGTCGTTATCTGGTCTCCTCTCAGCCTTCTGTATTCTGGAGGACACAGATATAGCCCAACCGATCGTCCTTCATAAGCTTTACACCTAGGTCCCCGAACACATTTTTTCGAACGCCTCTGGATGCGTTCTAAGCTTGGTTTCTCCTCCTGGAGAGAAGGAAGGAAGACGATGGTCCCGAACTACAGTTGTGGCCGTGTGAAGCTGTTGAAAACTTGGTGGAAGCGTTTACGATCGAATTGTTCGAAACTTCGCCCGACAGTTACTGACGCCAAGTTTCCACGAAATGCTTTTCTGTCACGGATGGCATAGGATTTTGAGTCTTGAGGGACTAAGACGCCCAAATCCTTCTCTGTCAGTGACGCTACAAGCCACATGCCATTGAGGCCACATACATGGGGTGCACCGTGTTTTACGTGCATCATGCATTTCTCAGAATTAGACCCAAGCCGCTTGTGACCGTCAAATTGTGAAGTTGAGTTAAGCTTTCCTGCACGGAAATACTGTCTTCTTCACTTTTGATGTCTCTTCAGAGGTTCACGACATCAACAAAAAGAAGGATTTCGGAAGAAACTTGTCGAGGCAAGTCGTTTACGCATATTAGTAAAAAGGAAAGCCCCTGGAAGTGAACTTTGCGGAACACCACTAGGACATTCTGTTTCTTCAAACACAGAGAAACTCGTTCGAACTCTAAACGAACGGCCTCGTAGGAATGAAGACAACCAGCCAATAGGCGGGGGTCAAATCCCAATCGATTTCAATTTAACAATAGGGCAGTCGTGATTCACACTATCAAACGCCTTAGTAAAGTCTAGGTAGATAACATCAGTTCGTCTTTGACGGTTAAATTGGTGGTGCAGGAGCAGCCTTTCTGAAATCCATGTTATTGAGGCGCAAAAAAGCTTATCTTTTTGAGGTTATCCCTCAGTTCATAGTATACTAACGATTCTATTACCGGTCTGTATTTCTTTGGATTGCTTCGTTGACCCCCTTTGAAGATTGACATCATGTGGCCCAGCTTCCTGGGGTCGGGTACTACCCCTTAACCCAGGGAATTCTTAAATAACTTAGTTGAAGGCCCAGACAAGACTGAAGCTGCCTCCTGCAGTGCCCCCGGATGGATTTCACCAGGTCCCGGAGGGGTGTCTTTGGCGAGCAGCAGCAGTTTGCGCTGTACAAGCTCAACGCTTAGGTAGACTACCAAGAGTCCTACTTTGTTAGTGGGATATTTGTAGGCTTTCGAGTAGGTGAACCATGGCGAAAAGATTTGCATACACTGGTTGGTCAAGGGCTCAGCTGGTTCAGTGTCGCTACTAGTCAGTCCCTTCCCACGTAGCAGTTGAGGGACCCCCGGTTCGGCCCGCCGGAATGAAGCAGCTAACTAGGACAGACTTCTCTCGCCGGAAACAAACATGTTTGTAATCCTGACTTGGCGCCGCTGCCAATCGGCTCTCAGTGCCTCTGTACATGTGTTTCTTGTCTGCTTGAGTTGTTTGTAAGTATATTCTGTGCCAATCCTTCTGTGTTCAGCCCACCGATGTCTCTTTAACCTAAGTAGTATGCGAGTGTAGTTCCTTATTACTCTGGGTAACTTGAAGCACTTCCGTTGTAAAAGTGGAACATTCTGGGTGATTGCATGCATGATCTTGTTAAGTATGAATCTCCTGTGGGCGGTTGACCTTCCACTCTGTCTGTTCCAGTGCGACTAGAAGAGCCTGAGTGCTTAGGTGTCTGTAGTTTCAATGACGCCCATTGAAAGGTCTGGTTAGACTGGTTTTGCAGACAAAATGGAAGCCGATAACAACGTGGTTATCCCTGCCGAAAGGCGGAAGGATTGCTGAGTTATCGATCAGGAATTCTTCATTCATGAAGACGCAACCTAGGTGAGATGGGGTTTGAGTTTCCCTCACTCGCCTTACCGTTCGCACATTTTCCACAAGCCCCGGCTTACCAGTCAGATGGAAGAATCTGGATTGAATGGAACTGTCACTGCTGCTAAATGTGTGATCCGCAAAGTTAACCCTCCGTGGGTCAAAGTCTCCTGAAATGAGTGTGTGGCCCAGTTTAAGGGAAATTGATTGCATCTAGCATCTTGTCGTCGTACTGTGAGTCAACGAATAGCTGCCCATAAATGAGCCCCACCAAGTATTTTATAGTCTTGGATAGCATAATGGTGCAACAAATAGGCTCTTCAGGCCATTGCAGTTGTTGAATATGGATTTGGTGGGCTGAGAGAGGGTCTAACGTAAAGTGCCGCCCTACTCCCACACCCCGCCAGCCATCATATCGTTGCGAAATAGTGCGGCATCGGCAACTGCCAGCTCATGCGTTGACATGCCAGGAGAAACCCGCTGTGAGGGAAAATTGATCTGAAAATCCCTCCCGATCACCCCATTCGATAGTACTGATATTTATTTGAATATTTTTGCCCTCGTCATGGATGGTGTACCCCTGGCCCCAGCCGGTGTAATGTCATTTGGCTGTTTGACTGTCTCCTTTGACTTTTTGCTTAGTATTTGTCTTTGTATGATTGAGACTTATCATGAATGTTTCACCCTCCTATTGTATGACGCTGGACTGTTGACAAGGTGATATTGTTCTACTGCGCCCGATATTTTGTTTTGGTTCAACTTACGGTTGTACTGTGATTTGACTGTTTGTCTTTCGACTGTCTACTGGAGACGTTTATTTGTTGATTTGATTCTAGTAGACAGGGTTTCGGTCCATTCTGTCGGGAATATTCTTATTGACTGCCAGGTACCTAACAAATGTACTTGTTCAACCAGTTTTTACCGTATAGTACGCATTTGCACCCAAGGACGTTTGGACTGTATAGTTACCCAACGGCACTGTTGAGGCATTTTTGTAATTTTGATATAACTTCTTGTTGCTTTGATGGAACCACAGATTTTGTAACGGATCTGCCACTGATCTACTACGATCCATGTTTTGATATTTTGATCCGATTTTTGACTGCGTCACTCGCTATACAGTAGAACTCAGGAACTAGCCAGATTCGCGTTGGTCGGCGCCACCTAGTTATTTCCCGCGTTCGGGCCAAGATTATTGGATTTCGGCTGTTGTAGTAGTCAACATTCCGTCACCGCTGTACCTGGCAAGCGCAAGATGTTCCTTGAGTCAACCCCGGAAGGAGAAAGAGACATGTCCATGGATCAACCCCCAGATACCAAACAAGTCCCTCTTGATGTTATTTCCTGCGGTGGCTCTGATAATGGTACAGTTATGCACCATAATAAGTCTAGCCCTAGTGGCACATCTGCTAAATTGAAGGTACAACAGTTGGATGAAAGGCAAGAGCGAGAGCTTCGTGAATTCAAGGGCAAACAGAGACAAGAAAGGTTGCGTCTGTATAAAGTGCTGAACTTATCAGGCGTGAATGGGGGTTTGGGTGACACCTTTTCTTAAGACGATGATTTAAAGAGTCGCAAATCAGTTTGTCTTCGTATTGACCCTCACAGCAGGCTTGATCCTGAAATGAATAGCCAGGTTGGCGGCGCAGAAAATAAAGGGATTGCTGTTACCTTGTCCTGTGTTAATGTCGGCCATGAGTTACCGAAGTTAGAAGCAAGCAGCTTTGGTGGACGTCCGGCCAAATACTGGAAGTTTATGAGGCAGTTTGAGCTCTGCGTTGTCTCTAAGATTGATGATGATGGACAGAGGCTGTTATACTTGTCAAATCACTGTAAATGTAGGGCCAGGGACGCTATAGGGGGACACATTATGTTACTACCATCTGCCGGTTGCCTCAGGGCTCGGGATATACTCAAACGTTTGTTTGGAAGGACTCATGAGCTCAGCCGGGCCTTACTACAGGATATGATGGAATGCTCGAACATAGAATAAAACGATGCTGAGGCAATGTCGAGGTTGGCTATAAAAATGGAAAACTGCTCCATAGCTCCAGACCGAATGGATTATAGCGCAGACCTTAACTCCTTGAGAACCTTGGAAGGCAAAGTAAAGAAACTGCTCCCTGTTTTACAGATGAAACGGGCAGAAACTGCCGAAAGCTTAACAGAGAACGAACTAGAACCGGCCTTCTCAGAGTTGACGCAGTTTGTGTCAACACGTGCGAGCATTTTGCTAAGTGGGTTTGGACGGCTGGCAACAAACCGTAGATGACCAAACAGTAAAACGGCATGTTCTACGCAGCAGTTAGTACCCTCTGGGGAAGTCATGAAACCTTCATGTATATTTTGTGGAGAAAGCCATGTGGTCACAACATGTGCCACATTCCTGTCGCTACCGGTGGATGAGAGATGGCCGAAAGCCAAAGAAACCTGTTGTTATTTTTCCTGTCTTAAGAAGAGCCACAGGTCAGTAGAATGTAAAATTCATAAGGTATGCAGTCTAGAAGGTTGTAAAGCATTCCATCACCCCCTGCTACATAATAAGACCCACTATGCCGCAAGCGAACAACTGGAGAAAAGTAGTTTTGGATGCACTGAGTCTCTCAAAGAAAGCTTGTGTTTGGGCCTGCTCCCGGTACGCTTAAAGCATGGTAATAAAGAGACTTGCGGTTATGTTTTC